CACCATTTTCTGAGAAGTTAAGAGATGTTAAGAGAGGATTTGACTAATGAAATAAAGCCTGCCACTAGATGACATGCAGACAGTGGCCCTGACTCACATGAGCTATTGGCTATGACTTGTTTGCAGACTTTCAATTTATTTTGCATTGATGGCATCCATTTGTCTTCCCAAAGTAGATAATAGTTTCAAGAATTAAAAGATAATTTTCTACAGCCTGCATGAGTTCTGTCTCAATGGGCTACTTCTGGGTAACCTGTAAAATAAATCTGCCCTGTTCTAAGGTTGTCGCTAAGCCTCTGAGGGTACTGGTATCGTATGTAGAAATCCCTGGATGCTGAATGCCCAGCATCACTCCTTTATTTTATTTTTCATTTTCTGTCAGTTACCACTATAGTATTTTTAATGCTTTTGTTGTAATGCTTTTTTTTTTTTTTTTAAATTGAACTTCATAGAGCAGTGTAATTTTTTTTTTTCCCCTTGTAGTTAAGCACATCAAGAAAGATGAACGTAAATATTATGAGGATCTTTTAAAATACAGTCGAGATCATCTCATGTTGTACCCTTATCATTTGTCTGACATCATGGTAAAAGGTCTGAGGGTAACACCGTTTTCATATTACACTGGCATAATGGAGGTGAGTACAAAACTATGGTGAGAATACGTTGCTTTCTGTCCTAGAGATGTTGGTGACGATTGTTTAATGCATACGAGGCAGTGTCATGTAGTTTGTTCACTTTTGGATAGGTTATGCTGTCAAGTAAGGAAACAGTAAGGAAACTTTCTAAACAAATACTTGTACCTGCAGGTTTTTTTCCCTTCTGCCCTGTAGGCTGTTCAAGAGCTAGACTTTGTCATGTGGAACAAGGGTGGGACTCACTCTGAGGCCAGGCTTTCTCTTTTGATGTTTGAGATTGGGACTCTTCACTTCAAACTGTAAAAGAAATAGCTCATTCTTTTAGATTAATAAAACATACACAATTTCCATTTTTAAAAACCAGTACATTTGAACGGTTATTTTCTTTTTTTGTTCCCTTTCAAAAAAGACACTTAACCATATTAGAAGGTTTTTCAAAAGCTTGAAGAAGATCCTTTGTTGAGAACAAAGATGGGTCTGTTTTCAGTCAGCACTCTGGCAACCTTCTTTTATTTTGATTGGATATCAGAAGCCCTTTGTTTATTTTGTGTATAGTGATTGCAGACATAATGGATTAGTTGTTAGCTTATTCTGTTATTACTGTTAGCAATTCCTTGTGCTGTTTTTTTTTTTTTTTTGGGAAGACAGAGACAGGATTTTATCTTTATTATTCTGTCAGTTAGCATTTTTCTCTGTAAAGCTTATGTTAAACAGAAGTCTCTTTTTTATGTATTTAACTTATTGTATAATGATTAATCAAGTAATTGGCAAGTTTGATAAGGTAACTGACTTTCATAGATTTGTTTTAATTTCATTTTGTTCTTAAAAAAAAAAAAGGGAGAATTTTGGACCTGCTGAAATGATGACTTTTTTGTTGCAACTAAGTTTTCTTGTCTTTTTAAGGATATAATGAACAGTGAAAAAAGCTATGATTCATTACCCAACTTCACTGCTGCTGACTGTAAGTATTACCTAGCTGCATTACTGCTTTCAGTGAGTTGGAAATGAGGAGCTTCTGAAAGTGAATTTGTGGGCGTCTGTTTGCTTGAACATAAGTGTATGAATGAAGGCATAGAAACATTTAAATAGTGACTTAAGGAGCGTGTGCTCTCCATACAGACTTCTGTCCGTATGGCCAGCGCTGGAATTGGGCTAGTTTGAGAACAAATAGGAACGGTGCAAAACCTTGTGCAGCTTCTGTCCTTGCTTGTATTGCATCCCTATTTGCTTGGACTTCTGGCTGGTAAGTCTTACTGGCCATTATGCATCGGCAAGCTGAGCTGCTGGTCTTTCCTAGTGCGTTTTTTGGCACGTGTTTGGCAGAAAGCTTTGGGAAGACAGTGAAAGGCTGTTAACACTCTTGTGAATTAGCATCAGTGTGGATGGATACTTCAAGGAATGAAGTACCAGAAAAGAGAAAGAAGAGGATCTTGTATTTTATGACACTCCTGGATGTGCTAGGTTTTTTATCCTGCTTTCTGTTAGACTGTTGTGAGTATGAGGTGGGGAGATCAGGAAAGCAAAAACATTGAACTTGGTGGAAAACAGAGTAAGAGCAACAGCCTACTGATAAGTCTTATAGCAGAAAATGCAAACTGCTGGCATAGGGAGGGTGTTAATCAAACCTGCCATTGAGAAGTTATTTATAGCTAAAGACTTAATTCCTCACCTTCGGTATGAATTTATATAGTTCTCTTTAATGATAGTGTGCAGTCAGGGGAGGAGCAGCCTGCAGGTTTTGAAAACAGTTTGGTGAGGTGCTTTTGTGTGTTTGTTTTTTTTTAAGGATATTGTCAGTTAACTGTACTAATTTACCTCTCTGTAATGTTCACACTAGGAAAACAGATCAGGAAAAGCTTTTTTCAGTGCCGTGTAGCTTGTTGGAAATCTAGTGTTACTCAGGATCATGAAGAGAGGAAAGGCTTCGCTGTTTTTTTTTTTTTTTTTTCCTAACAATTCTGTTATTTTAGCAGCAGCTGCACATCACTTGCTGAGGTATAATTAAGTTAAACATCTTTATTAACGTCTTATCATAAAAAGAAGAGTCAAACTAGAAAGTTGGACTTAATCTGTATTCTGTCTCAGTTTTAAAACTAGTGAGTAATTTTCCAGTATCTGTTCATAGTTCCTTAATGGTTGAAGGCTAGAGATTATAGAATTAAATTCTGATTCGGTTTAGCTCAACTAGATCTGAATCATCTTCCTTATAGTCTTATGTGGCCTTTTGTGCTCTTAGTTTAAATTTCTAATCCAGTGCTTGGTGTGGGATTTATTAGAAGGGAAGAAAAACTATTGACCAAAATCTGGTACAACTTTAGTTCTTTTAAGTTGAAACATTATTACCTGTTGATGTCAGTGTAGGAGAGAAAGGGGTTGGATTATTCCCTGCTACCCCGTGACTTGAGAGATACGAGATAAAGGTTTTTTTTTTAACCTGTACAGAGTAAATGAACGGGGATGGATTATGGTTTTAGATGCACATGGTTCTCTGTCAAATTCAGTTGAAACTGCATTTAGTTCCTATAACTATCCTTTTATTCTGGCAAGAAAGAGTAATTAAAGATATTATTATAGAAGTAGGTCTGATTCTTTGAAGAATGTTTTATGTATCTTCAGTTTAAACCTGTCTTAAGAGAACTAAAACCTTACTTATTTTTCAGGTCTAAGACTTCTTGGTATAGGAAGAAACCAGTACATAGATCTAATGAACCAATGTAGGTCTTCAAAAGTAAGTTTGCCTTTAATTTTCTCTCCCTTTCCTTCTCCAGTCCCTCCCTACACCTGCTATTATTTCATAGGAAATGAAGAATGGAATAATTTCTTGGATCTTGTTAGTTTAATAGTATGTCTAATTGAATGTGACATAGTGTATTGCTAATTATATTGTGTTTCCTGAATTTAATGAAGAGCTTTTTATCTTAAAATCAAAGTATACTGAAAAAAAAGATATTCAGTGCTACGTCTTCCCCCACCCCCCCACCCCAAATATATATTTTCAGAGCTTTATTTATTCTATGGCAGCAGGTAACTAAGGTCTCCTGGCCAGTATAAACATGGAATAATGATACTAGTTCTGGAAGAATTATTCCATGTTGCTGTGAGTGCAGCTGAGATTAGAGTTTATTCTGGGACAGTCCTCCATGTAGGTGAAAATTTTTTAGTGTGTATGGTTGTTTCTGAGACAACAGTAATGAGTCTGAACAGGTGTCCTTGCATGTGAACAGCATGTGTGGAAAACACTGTAATGATTGTTGACAAAAGTAGGCCCTTTCGTTTGCAACAGTTCCTTCCTTTCTTCGAGAAACTCATAGGTGCTCTTGCAGTAGCTTCACAGTGCTCCTTCAACCAAAAGTGTGCTCAGCAAAACATGAAGTTGATAGTGTGAACTGAAAACTAATGGCTGTACAATGGAAGAGAAGTTCTTCAGGTCTATAAATAAGCAGTACCCTCCGTTTTTTCTTTCTTGGACTGAAATTCATTGTAGTTTTTTAGCACAGTGCTTATTGAGAATGTGGGGTACTTTGTCCTTTAAAGTAAATCAAATGTTCCTGAATTTTTTTTTTTAAGATCATTGAACTTCTTTAAAATGCTCCATATATACTTTGTATGCTATGCTCTTACCTGTTCACGTTAGAAAATGTCATAAATAGTTTAAATTTGAACTTGATCCTAATGTGTTTGAACAGTGTGGTTTTTAATTAGTGACACAATATGAATGAATACATGGGTTTATGGGTATGAGATGCAAATAATTTTTTTTCCCCTTCCCATTTTCACATGATTTGAGAGGGGAGAGAAGCTTTTACTAAATGACAAGTATTTGTGCATGCCCAGTCTGTGAATATAATGTACTTAAAAATGGATGTGTGTAAAAATCAGTTTATATAAGGGTAAATGGCTGTCTGCACATGTGAAGTGCTCTTTATTACTATCTCAAATGGACTGTACCACTGCAGAAATTTTTCAGAAGGAAAACAGCTCATGATCTGTTACCTGTGAAACCTGTGGAGATTGCTATAGAAGCTTGGTGGGTCGTGCAGTCTGGCTACATCACTGAGGATGACATCAAGGTATTTTAGTATGGATTGCATCTCTAATTGTGGTTGAATACTGATAGTCCCTGAAAACAGGGGCTTCCCTTTGTGTAGAATGAACAAAGATTATGTTGCAGGTTTATAACAACTCTTTTATGGAATAGAGATTGGAACTAATGGAAATTGTGATGTTTTATTTGTTTACATATTCTGCCCTCTCCCTTCTTTGTACTTTCTTCACTATGTACAGTGAGGTGGTTTTGCATCAATCAGTCTGTGGTGAATAATGCGTGTGATAATGTGCTTTGTAGGGAGCAAGCAACAAAATATGTTTTCTTAAATTGGTATTTAAGCCCTGACAGCTCAATTTTGACTGAATCTTTACCTTCACTATAGTTAGAATCAGAATATTACTGGACTTTAATTGATAGATATTTTCATTGTTTCTGCTCTTTATGTCTCCTTATCTGTTTCATTGTTTGCACAAGAAAAATTTGTGAGCTGACTTAATGTTTCATCCTCATTCTACTTTCATTCTCACAGTTTCTTTTTACAGTCAGCTAGTCATTTGGTCTGGATTTAATTCCTTCTGTGTAAGTCTTTTGTTTAGATTGGAACAAGCTTAAAGCAGTGATGGCATCTTTTTTGGCTACCATTTGGAATATCTTAGGCAGTGGATACTTATATTCTGACATCCCATCAACTCAGAGTAGTTAACCCGGAGCATGTTACTTTGACATTGTAATGGACCTCTTTCTAGAATGGTTCCAGTTGTGTGGTTGAACACTCAGTTTGGAAGTTTTAAAGAGCAAACCTATTACACTGTGAATTTCACTTACCAAATACCCCTGCAATTAAGTACTGTTCCTAGAGCATGCATAATTTTGTGCAGGAACAAGAGTGAGAAATTTTAAGACTATCAGGAACTGAAGTGAATTCTTCAATATTTTGATTAAGAACATGGGTTACTTCCTATATTCTTACATTACTTATGACTGATTTGAGGCCAAAACGTTTGGGATTTGGGTGGTATTAAGTAAGTTGCTTAGACTCATTGCTACAAAAGGCTAACACGATTTCTTTTACATAGATTTGTACTACATCGGAGAAGTCTGCTATTGATAAGATAATTGATTCAGGTCCTCAGCTTGCTGGTTCATTAGACTTCAATGTGGTTCACAGTAAGTTATTAATGAACATTCCTTTTCTGTTTGTAGATCTTGCTTAATAAATTCTGAGAGCAGTGTCTGAAAACTAGGAATAAAAGGGGATGTAGATAGTTGAAGTATAAGAGGAGGTGGAAGAAAATGCTCAAGAACTTGTACAGACTGCAGTCTAGATCTTGTAAATGCTTTAACGATGAGCCATTAGCAGCTGTTGCTCTGGTATTGTTTTATTCAACAAATTCTTTCATTAAAAACTGTCAGTTGGGAAGGGGGATGTAGATGAGGACAAGCTGAAACTGAAATGAAAAATGTCAGATTTGGTAATCCTGAGTGGTAAAACTTCAGTCCTTGGTTTTCAAAGAAGGAGAGGTTTTGTAACTTTGTACTGTTTGAACACCATAAAAATGGGCCTTAAATCTAAGGGGCTGTCTTGTTTCTCAAAGGTCTGCAACTGTTACTGAAAAATGGTGTGCGTGTGTGTCCCCATTTCAGCATAACAAGTATTATAGACAAATCACTTTACATAAGGGAGTGTAAAATCACTGACAAACTTCTTAAGAAGTGTCTCTGTAAATGCTTGGCATACTACAAGCAATCGAAGCTGAGCACTGTAGTTTCCCTAAGATACTGAGGCAGAATTCCACTGCCTGTTACTGAAGCAGAACAAAAAAAATTAAAAAAAAAAAAAAGTGAGGTAGGTGAAATTCATGCTCTGGAGTAGATCTGAAACAGTACAGGGCTTAAGAAAATTTAAATTCCAAAAGCACTTCATGATCTTTGTCCTAACATGGCCTGATGTTGCTTGTGGAGAGGGTTACAGCTCAGGTTTAGTAGGTTTAGAAGGAACTAGCGTACCTTTCTACCCTAACTCATGGGTAAAAATAGAATGTACAGATGATTAATGTAACGGTCTACCAGTAGAATGGGATTTAATGGGGAAAGAGGACTGTTTAATGAGAGCTGAATCTGAACGAGAGACAGTGAAAAGCATTCCTAGCATGTTGATGGCTTGCAGTGTCCATTACAGCTAGTTTGCATAGCTGAGTATGTGTCACTGCCTGTGCTGAACAGCAGTTGTATTAGTATGAATTTACGTTATTTTTTGGTTTAATGCAGGCATTTCATTTAAGAACTTACTGGCTGTAGTAATTTTACTAGATATACTATAGATACATACATAGACCTATAGCTGGGCTGAGCTCTGTGTGTGTGTGAAACATCCTGACAATTCTACTTCAGATGTTTAATAACGCTTCACCTGAGGGTTGTTGGTACACTTCCTCCCAGCAGTAATGAATATGGTGTAGATGAAGTGATCTTGGTTAACACACAAGGAATCACTGACAATAAATTGGGCTTATTTTATACTGTGTAATTTAGCTTTGTGCTTTACTGTTAGAGTATAGCTGTTACAAACCGTAGACTCTAAAAGGAACCATGCTGAAATATTTTCCCCTTCCTTAAAAACTTCTCCTTGGCTTATCTACTCTGCAGAACTCAGATGAGATGCTCAGCACTCAAATCGATCTTAATGTGGGGAAAGTGTCATTTAAAATCTGCCATCTTATTATCCTCATTGTATGCAGTGTCCCTCTGTATCTGCTGCAGCTTTGCTGATGCCTTGTGCTGAAATGCCCCAGAATTTATTTTTGCAGTTGTGTAAAAAAGGCTTTTTGTGAAGATGTGTGGGAAGGACATGTGAGGACCATCAGAACTGATGCGGTTTAGTTTGTATCCTTGCTACGAAGTATGCAAGTTCCAGCCTGAGTTAGGGCAGAACCAAAATGTAGCCAGCATCCTCAGCTGACAAAACTAATTTAGGATAAAAGAAACCAAACCACTTCTTGACAGTACACTGATGACAGTGAAAACTAAGTTAACGTTTAGCAGGGACACACTCGTCTTTGTCAAATGGAGCTACTTCAGTCTGTGATCATTCTACTGTCCTCGATTGTCCTGAAAGTACGTTTAGAGCTCCAAGTGTATTGCATCAGACTGCAAGTAAAGAACTCTGATTTAGGGTGACACCTGTTTAATATTACATGTGGTTTATTGATCCATGCATTGCACAGTAATATTCTATTGTGGAGGCTATTAGGAAAAATTACTTGAATTGGCTGATGGGGAAGTCTACTTTGTATCATTAGTATTCTGGAAAATGTTTTTTTTTTTTCTAAAACGATGTGCTTTTATTTATAAAGGTTTGTATAACAAAGGATTTATATACCTTGATGTGCCAATATCTGATGACAGCTGTATAGCAGGTAAATACATACGTAATGGTATTACACCTCTGTTTTCTTGGTTTCATTTCAGTTATCATGTAGTTGTCTATCTTGGAAGCTGCTTGTCTCTGTGCATGAGTTTGCTTAAGGAAAACATTTGAACTATGAAAATTTTCCTGACTAAATGTTTTCCACCCTATTAAAACATTGTTTTTATTGTATATAGGATTTATTTCAACTTGAATTCTTGTATTTTCTTGTTTTGTGTACATATTTAGATAAGGTGAGATTCTTTTAAAGATTCATGGCATGAATTATTAAGTACCTTCCTATCTGTAATGAGAAGGAAGAATAGGATAGAGAAACATAGTTGCCCTGCCAAAAGGATGCCTTTTTTGACTCCTTTTTTCTTGACAGATGCAACTTTTTTTATAGCCAATTCCATCCTTCATGGTCTTGTCACATCAGTTGGTCATCTGCTGAGTTTGTGTACTATGTAGGAGCTTAAACTAGCACAGCACGTGGCTGCCCTTTTGAACAGCTCATGCTCTGCTAGGTCTCGGGGGGTTCTGAATTCAGTGTAATCTGCAAAGGTATAAATTGTTTGGAACCTTGCCACCGTGCAGAAGTACCTGTCATTGCTGTAGTAGAGATCAGTTTAGTGGAAGTCCTCTAAGTACAAGAGAGATACTGCTGAGATAATAGCTTTGGGAGTCTTGGCTACAGAGTGTGTATGGGGGCTGGGTTTTTTTTGTGTCCCACTGCAATCATCTCCATACACATTACAAATTCATCTTATGGCTGGGTGACTGGAAATTACCTGTAGTGGATGAGCTGGAGGCTGCAAGATTATCATGCAAGGTAGAGTGGCATTAGTTTTTGTGAGAAAACACACTGACAACCATTACTTAAGGAGCAGGAGAATTTTAAATACCATGTATATTATCTTTAGGCTTTTATTTTGTGACTAGAAAATCCTCAAAATTACAGGTACCATGAAAACTAAATAAGTGTAAATTTATTTTTCTGGTTTTATGCAGTTTCAGTTTGATCATATTAGTTACAGAATTGTAATTTTGCAAGTGATTCTTCTTTTTAGTGCCACCACTTGAAGGTTTTGTGATGAACAGAGTGCAAGGTGATTACTTTGAAACACTCCTGTACAAGATATTTGTTTCAATAGATGAACACACTAATGTGGCAGAGGTAAGTAAAACTTACCCTGTGTCAGGGAGTAACCTGGTCTAGTGGAAGGTGTTCCTGCCCAAGGCAGGGGGGTTGGGACAAGATGATCTCTAAGGTCCCTTCCAACCCAAACCATTCTATGAGATAGGAAAACTTGAAAGGGCCCAAAGCACACTGCTGAAAGTACTCAAGGCAGAGATGTGGATCAGTATCAAGTGATTTTACTTAGAAGTATTGCCAGACTTAAGATCCAACCTGTTTTTTTTTTATCTTGAGTGTAACTTTTATAGTGCTTCAGGCTTGAAGAAGTACTTTCAATTCAGTGAAACAATTCCATCAGCTGAAATGAATTTACACAAGGGTGACTAATGAAGACTATCTTATATGAGCTAGAACTGGAACAGAGTGAGTTTTGATTGGGTGAAATAAAAAAAATTAAAATTTTTTTCTTTGGCAGTGAAAACATGAAGGATGTTGGCTTAAAGTAGGAATGGAACTTTTGCATAAGTATTTATAATTTTAATATTAGAAATATGTTTTCATAAGGTCTTATTCTCAAAACCTGGTACATAAGCACCTGAAAAATACCCATTAAAGATATCCAGGATTTGTTTTCCTCTTTGCATGTCTTCTGATATACATGATTAACCTAAAAATGGTATGCATGATTAACCTAGAAATTACGCAGTGGAAGATAACCTCGTCTTTTTTTTGCATGCTTTCAAGTGGGACAATTATGAGACTTCATCCCCTCTTTTCATCACTTTCGATGAAAACAAAATTGTTCCTACTGGTACAGACTGGGTTTAAAAATAAAGAAAACCAACAAAAAGATGCTGAAGCCCACAAATGGTGAATTACCCTGCATTGTTAATACTGTATTGCTGATTCTTCTTTTTTTTTTTTTTTTTTTTAGCTTGCAAACGTCCTACAGATTGACTTATCTTTAGTAAAGGTATGTGTGTATAATGCATCTGTTGAACTTGATGTGGAAAGTTCACAGTCTTGCAACCTGGTTTCATATAGCAGTTCCTTATTATATGTATGTGTGTTTCTTTAGAATGCTGTGTCCATGTATTGTCGGTTAGGCTTTGCTCATAAAAAAGGCCAAGTAATAAACCTGGATAATCTTCATCCATCGTGGAAGAATGTTCCTTCAGTAAACAGACTGAAGTAAGTGTCTTAATTCTTTCGCAAGGCTTATTTTTCTCATTGAAGAGAAAACTAGAACCAAAATCTAATTATAAACCTATGGGTTGCATTCTTTCCCTTCTGCAACAACAAATGTCACTTGGCTTTCTCATGTTTATAATGACAAGAATACTCCATCCTCTCTTTAGTCGGAGGATAAGGACTGGTAATTTAGCCTGTAAGTTCAATGTACTACTTTTGATGCTGTTACTTAGTACTGGCTTTTTGACCTTTAAATGCCTAATTGCTCACTTTTGAAACAGACAAGTGTATGTTTTCTTTAAACTCCTGCAGCCAGAAATAACAGCTGTTACTGTGCTAGAACAGAGACAAAGTCTCTTGGCACTGCTGTCAATGAATATATACATAAAGTTTGCTTACTTGCTGTCAAGTACCATTGCAGTTCTGTCATTGACACTCTCGCATATATTTATATCTATATCAGATCCTAGAAAAGTGATGTTACTACCAATCAACAAAGACTTCTCCAAGTTGGAGTGCCAAGTTGCATTAATTAAGAATTGTCAGGCACTTTTAGTTCAATATCTATTAAGCCATATAAAATGACTGCTCTGAGTTTTCTTTAATGTTAAATCAGACTGTGAGAACAAAGTAAATTAGCTTTTTCTCCATTGGATTCTTCTTCAGCGATGGTGGTTTGATTTTTCTTTTGCAAAATCTGGTATTTTCAAACCCCAGATAAACTTTTCTGCTGAAGCTAAAGCAGGACTCTGAGGGACATCAAGCTTGACTGATTTAGGGCTTAGGAGCATTGAAAGGCATGAACTGGGTATGCCTATGCATGGACTACTAGCAGTGGAAGGCAGAGATACTTCTCTGGTACTACCATGACCGATAGATGTGGATTTTAATTCACATTAATAGGAGTACTTTGGACCCTCAAAAGATGCTGCTTTCATGGGACAGTGGGGAAAACAGAAGTCCTATACAGGAAGCTGGGTCATCAGCCACAGATACAGATACCAACAGTCAAGATGATCCAGGTTAGCACTAACAGTAAATTTTAATACATTAGGATCAATTATTTTTATATTTCTAGAGTGCCATAGGCTGTAAAGGGGTCTAGAAACAAGTAAAACACAGATTGTGTAGATCCTTTTTCCATATGGAATATACAGTGGGGGAGGTGGTGTCTACTTTGGTTTAAAATGCTTTAGCCAAATAGTTTTGTTTCTTAAGATGAGGCTGATCTATATTATAGTTATCAATGGACGCAAAGATACCAGCTTCTGCATTAGGTCAATCTGTAGTTTGGTAGTGATAAGAGAATTCTGTTCTACTCAGTATGACAATAACTAATGGGTTTTCTTCTTTTTTTAATAGATTTGATTTAAACTTGCTAATTTTATTCTTAAATAAAGCAAATTTGATCATATATTTTCTTTTTGTTTTTTATTAGCTGAAACAGCCAGCGTGAGCAGCCTGAATCTGTCTAGTGGACACACAAAGCGTATTGCCTTCCTGTTTGATTCTACTCTCACTGCCTTTTTAATGATGGGAAATCTTTCACCAGTATGTCAAAATTGTTCAATGTATCATGCCAAGAATAAATATGTAGAGCTTTAAAATACTTTGACTTCAATATAATACAGCTGTAATTATTTTAAAAACTTCTGTATTGTTTGTTGTGAAGCAATGTTTCTGTTTAATAAAACTTTTGCTTGCCCATTTCATTCTCAAGGAATTAAGACAGCTTTGTTTTGTTGTTTCAGAACTTGAAAAGTCATGCAGTCACTATGTTTGAAGTTGGGAAACTGTCAGATGAGAGTCTTGACAGCTTCTTGGTGGAGCTGGAAAAGGTAATCAGTTACATGTTTGACGAAATGCTTTTTCAGCACTTGAAGTGCTAAAGGGGCCAAACCCCCCAGTATTTTCATTGTGTAAAAATACCATGGTAAGAACAAGCACTTTTATCATACCGAACCTATGTGGTTCAGTTAAGGTGTTTCTTCTTCACAGCATAAAATCGTCTAGGTTGGAAGGGACCTTTAAGATCATTGAGTCCAACCATCAACCTAACACTGCCAAAACGACTACTGAATCATGTCCCTAAGCACCATGTCTACCTGTCTTTTAAATCCCTCCAGCGATGGTGACTCCACCACTTCCCTGGGCAGCCTGTTCCAATGCTTGATAACCCTTTCAGCGAAGAATTTTTTCCTAAAATCCAATCTAAACCTCCCCTCATTTATACCTCTAGTGACTTTCAGGGTCACACCATGCATGTCTGTGAATGTGGTGAATTTGGTGAGCAAAGTGAGTGCATGAACTACATTTCACATGTAGTTTCATGGTGGAGGTTGGATGGGACCTTTGAAGATCATCTAGTCCAACCCCCCTGCCAAAGCATTTGCACCTAGAGCAGGCTGGACAGGAATGCATCCAGGCAGGTTTTGAATATCTCCAGAGAAGGAGACTCCACAACCTCTCTGGGCAGCCTGTGCCAGTGCTCTGTCGCCCTTAAAGTAAAGAAGTTTTTTCTCATGTTGAGATGGAATTTTCTGTGTTCCAGGCGTGCCCATGGCCCCTTTTCCTGTCACTGGGCACTGCTGAAAGTCTGGCCCCATCCTCTTGACACTGGCCCTTTAGATATTTATAAGTATTGATGGAATCCCCTCAACCTTCTCTCCTCTAGGCTAAACAGACCCAGGTCTCTCAGCCTTTTCTCATAAGGGAGAAGCTCCAGTCTCTTGACGGTCTTTGTACACTCTTGGTTCGAGTCTGTGTGTACACACACCTGCATTAGGGCTTGTTCAATGGAAATCACTTTCTTTTCAGTAAGGTGTTAATATTTCTGAAAGTCTGCACACCATTTTTGTAGGAAACTTTGACCATTATATGCTGGAATATTTAACCTATCTAGCTTTTAAAGGTAGTTCTAGAAAGGCAAATTTAATTACGTAGGATGACTGCTGTTAATTGCTGTATCATTTTTATACCAGTCAGGACGACTGGGCATTTAAATACTTTTACCTAAAGACTGAGTCGCAGTTGTGGTTTATATATGTTGCCTTTGTGTTCTTTTTGACTGTTTGACTGGCATGGCCAAGACTCACTTTTCATTTAATAGTTGCTGTAAATCACCTTGGCATATAAGCTGCAGGGTTGTTACTCAATTCCAAAGCTCTAAAATGCTAATTTATTAATCTTTCCTTTTCTGTGATTGATGCTTGTGGAAACTTGTATGCGTTTATTTTGTTTCTTGTTTAGGTTCAAAGCACGGGTGAAGGGGAAGCACAGCGGTACTTCGATCATGCACTTACACTGAGAAACACAATACTGTTTTTGCGGCATAACAAAGACCTGGGGGCACAAGCTGTACAGCCTGATCAACCAAATAATGGTACTGCGAACACTTTTGAGGAAATCCTCCTAAGTTTGTTTACTTATCTGCCATGGACTTGGCTTTCTGATTAAGCTGCTATTTCAGAAAGCAATCTGTATCCTACTTGTTTAAAAACATTTTGAAGCCAAAACATCACTTTTTCATCATCCTTTGAACTTGCATTACTGAGTTTGCCTGTTGAATGACAGATTTGGTTGTCAAAACTTGGGCTTAACATCCACAGCAACAGATAAAAACATAATGATGCCAAGAAAAGCTGAACTTGAGGAGGAGATTGGTTTCAAATCGTGTGCTTCTGAAGGCCATAATAAAGAAGCCATTGTTTATTCAGAGTTCTTCTGTCAAAGAAACATTTTTCAAGTCATGAAAGGGAGTGTATTCTTCTAATGGGGGTAGACTTTTTTTTCCCCCAAAAAAAATCTTACCTAACTTCCTGGGTATCTCTGTGCTTATTTCCTGCGATCAGTTAGTTGGTGAGGAGCAAGTTGTAGTTCTGTGCCCAACAACCTTGTATTACTGGAATTGCTAAAATCATGTACAGATTTATTAAAATTCACCCCAATAATTTAAAACTTAGTTGTGGAAAATATTGTATTCATGGCTTAGCACGGGATAATAGAAATCTGAAGTCATGTTTTGGGTTGTATGTTCCATCTTAACTGATAATTTAAGAATTGTATGTTTTCAATGTAGGGTTTCCCTTGGACCTCTTACGGTGTGAGAGTTTGCTTGGCTTGGATCCAGCTACCTGCAGCAGAGTTCTCAACAAAAATTATACTCTACTGGTTTCCATGGCACCACTCACCAATGAAATTCGACCTATTAGCAGCTGTACACCCCAGGTGAAAAAACAATTTATTTTTTTTTTCCCCTCAGTATCTAGTAATATAATATCTTCTTAATAGCTTTGTTTTGAATACATCTTTTAGATGTCACTTTAAGTGACTCAATTATTGGCATGTAGAATAGTAAAATAGTTTTTCATCTAAAAAAAACTGTTTAGTGAGGAAAAATGTTAATACTTAGTAAATTAAGTTTGTTTAATTTAGTTACAATTTATCTGTTCAAGTAGAGTCAATGACAGATATTTTGTTCTTGAATTTGTATTCACAGAAAATACTTTACTATCACCTTTCTGTCAAGAGTCTTGCAATACTGGACTAAGTATCTAGAATATTACCAGTAGCAGAGTAATGCAGGATTTGTATTTCTTTAAAACTGTTGATTCTTAAGTGATACCCGTACATATAACAGTCGCAATATTAAGTTGTTCCTGATTTCTTGAATAATGTCTCTTCAGCATATTGGACCTGCGATACCAGAAGTTAGTTCAGTTTGGTTCAAACTGTATATTTACCATATAACTGGACAAGGACCACCCTCTCTGTTGCTTTCTAAAGGAACACGTCTTCGAAAACTTCCAGACATTTTTCAGGTAGCGTTTGCATGGATTTTTTTCTCCCTCCCTTCTCTAAACATTTCAAAGGTATGCTGTACGCAGTTGAAGTCAGAGGTATTGTAGATGATGTACCTTTTCTGGAAGCACGTTTTATGTAGTGTAGCATCTTGATTTGTTTTCTTTCTAGGTTCTGAAAAAGGAATGCTACTTACGTCTCTCTTGTCACAATGTGACTCCAGTGTATTTGATGCCAACCCTTTCAATTTTAGCGTAAAATGTGGTACTGTAGTTGTTTGTAAACCCATCCCAAGAACATGTTACGAAGATGGTAGAAGAGCTATATCAAAAGATAGAGACCTAGTATGTTGTGCTTTTTCTAGTATTACATAAGAAAGAACACTTCTACATATAACTTTGTCTGGTTTAGAAGATGGCTAAGACAATCAGTTCCAGTTTGTCCAGTGTAGAAATCTGTGATGGAAACTTTGAAGTTCTAGGCTGTAATTCTCCCTGCAGTTTAAATAAGGGTTGCACTAAGTTGGACAAAACGTCTCCTAGCCCAGTAGCCTCTCTCTAGCAGTGGCTGAAAGTAGGAAGAATAAGCATAATATGTAACACTTTGTCTTAAGACCTTTCCAGCCTTCCCCATGTTCTGGTCTGGAACTTCCTAAGCAGTATGTGATTTTGTGTATATAGAGGTTGTGACTGGAATTCTTGTCTCTGCAGTGATCAGGAACTCTCCCAAGTTCCTTCCAGTCTTGAATCCACTTAAGTTTTTAGCATCCGTACAGGGCTTTGGCAAGGAGTCCCAGAAGACGGTGCAGGTGATCAACTCATGCCTGAATGCTACCTTCTCCCATTCTGTCTCTGAGACGCTAATAAGGATAAATGTGCCACAAAGGAGTACTGTTAGGTATTCTGTATTCTAGGCAAACCTAGGTGGAAGTGATTGTGGTAACTTCTAAACTTGCCTGAACCAAAAATCATTTTATCTATTGACTTTGATTTGAAATGCAGCAGAAACTTGGCAGTGTTTGGGTCTTGCTGCTCACAGTGGAATTCGTAAAATAATATTGTTCAAATTTATAATTGCAGAGAGGACTCTACAGTTTTCATCTCATCATTTGGAATAGGTACTTGAGGAGATAAATATATTACAATGATATGGAGGCATTCAAAGAGGGATGTGTATTCTTAGGTGTACCTGCATCAGTAGTCATCTCTGACTGTAAGATTTGTAGGTTTATTTTCCATTCCTCAAGCCTCTTTCGCATTCCCTTCCCTTTCTGATTTCAAAAATCTTGTGGATACTTCTAAGACTTTAAGATAACAGAATTAAGTGAATCAAGGCTTTTAGCGCAGAAGGCGTTTTGCACTCATCAGTGGTGATGAGCTTGATTCAAAGCTTAGTCTCTCATTAGCTTAAACTACCAGTAAATGTATGGATTTGTACTTTTATTAGTAAAAAGCATTCGGTGTGGTAGTCTTGGAAAAATTCAATACTGCTTGAATCCTAGTGTCCTGATAGGTCAGGTTTTCTTGTACTAAATGATCTCACATTCTGCACTGTCAAAAACTTACTGGAGCTATTTTTCCTCTGCATTCATGTGTGAATGCTTCTCTCCTGCTACTGTTTGGCAGTGTAATTTTCTTAAAGAACTGTCAATACATTTCTAGAAATCTTACAGAGATGCAGGGAAATTCAATCTTGAAAACTGAGAAACTAGGAAATTACTTCCTAGTCAGTGTTCTTCCTGTCTCCCCCCTTGGATAGGTATTTTGGGGCTTGATATATCTTTGTTCTCTGTTGATGGTGTTTGCTTTTAAATTTATGTGGGATTATTTTCATCTCCTATTTGCTAGGAGGCTGCTGCAACGACCACATAGTTCTACAGGAATTGGTGACAGACACCTCCTGTTCAAAATAGCATCTTAACTTTGAGGTTGGCAAACTTCTGTCTTTATCAGGAATACCAATTGGTACAAAGTGTAATGCTATAGAGTCGTAGTTACCTGTGGTAACTTCCTATTTGTAACAATGCTAAGGCTTAACTCTGGTATTTCACTTTATGCGCTTGGGTAGTCCATTACTACTGTAAATACTCTTATTTTCTCTCTTCTAGGGTTATGATCGCTTACTAATAACGTCTTGGGGTCACGACCCAGGAGTAGTTCCTACTTCAAATGTGCTCACAATGTTGAATGATGCTTTAACACATTCTGCTGTTCTAATTCAGGTACAGAGTGCTGTGTATAAATGAAATATAAATGAAATGTATAAATAAAATATATAAATGTATAAATATGCTTTTTTTTTTGAGTTAAGCTGTTACATAGTAGAGGAGATAAACAATGTAGGAGAGCTACACTTTTGCCAAGAGCAGAAAAATATGTTTAACTTCTGTAGCCAGTGCTGCTATGCTTCAGTGGTGGTGAAGACATGGGTTTTGAATTGAATGCGTGTTATGTATGCATTATTGTATCATGGGCAGACATAATAGAGTTTTGCCAGCTAAAAATGAGATGTGGATTTGTAAGAGTGTTAGGGATATACAAAACTGGAACGAAAGTGAAGACCCCACGAGCTTTTGAGACAGTAGTGGTATAAGGTAGCTGGGAGTATGAACTGTTATTCCAGAAATGCACCTTTTTCGAATGCTTGGTATTCGTCTTTTACAGTAAATTATAGCAAAACATGTTCTTTATCACAAATAGCAAAAGTAGAATGGGTTTCTTTATTTGGGAGAAGTAAAACAGCTTCCTCTTCTGTTTCATCAGTTCAGTTGAAGTCTCAGAATTACTCATTCAAATAAATAGATATTTAATTTTGTAACAAACATAAAATTACCCATTCTCAAAGGCCCACTTGTGACAGCTTTGACTGCTTCAAAAGGTTCTGTATTTAAGGGTGTAAACTCCATTTTGCTTCAGAAGCGCTTGGTGATTATGAAATCTGTTTCTATCTAGTAAATGGAGAGAAAAATTGCTCTTCTTCACCTGAAGTTTAACTTCATTGTGTTTACTCACATGTGTTTTAGAGGAGAAGGGGTATTTTATTTAATTACTTATTTCAGCTAAGCAAGCACTTTAATGATCTGCTTATTTGTTTCACCAACTTGACTGGACTAAGCTAAGTTGATAAGTATATTTTTCTGTTCCTAATTTAATTTCTTGATGTTCAGGGGCATGGCATGCACGGAATGGGAGAAACAATGCACATACCTTTCCCATTTGATGAAGCTGAGCAGCAGGGAGGTAACTCACTGTCTTTAATGTAATCTCCACACCACCCTATTTCATTTTCTTGCACATTACTGTATGCAGTAAGGTTGCAATAATCCTTTTAGTACAAATTTTCTTGATCTTACAAATCAAGTTAGACGAGAAAATCAAAAGAATATTTAAATGGTTGACAAGTCTGTTCTGAGCTTAGAGATACGGCCTTCTCCTTTCTATCTTCTTTGTCCTGATTAGAATATCTTTTCTGGCTTCTCTTCTCTCCCAGCACAGATGTAAAGAAGTAACTTCCACAAACACTTCTAAATCTTTCTTTGTGCATACTGTCTTATTAACTAGCATATTTATTAACTGCATAAATAAATCTTCCATGTATTCTATTCAGCATCTCTTAACTGTACAAAAGGTGAGACCAAAACTGAACAAACTTATCTTAATTAGTATCACTGGGAACTATTATGGAGGTTTTTTCCCCAGGAAGAGCTTTGCTAGCAAAATCCCCTATTCCTTCAAAGTCTGCCTAGCTCAACTGATTTTTTGAAAGGCACCAATTAGCATGTTCTGAACTACTCCTTGATGAGTAGGACACAAACTTTGGGTAGTTTAGGCCATAGCCTTCCCAACTGAGAGCTGTCATGAAAGTATGATTATCCAGGTATGAAATTTAAAATTATTTAAGCTACCACTTAAAAAAATCTGGGCCAACTAGAAGTACAGCTATATTCCTAATTTAGTTTTTACTAAGTTCAAAATGAGTCACTTCTATATTTGCACTCTCTGGGGTGTTTGTTTTCTTCCGACTTGATGCTAGGTGAAAAATCTTGAAGACAGAATCTCCTAAGTTCTAGCATGAACAACTCAATATTGAAACTACTTGTTGACGTCTAGTACTGTGTTCTAATTCTTCAGAATTCCAAGTATGTGGAACATGTATCTTGTATTGAATTTGCCATAAAAGACTTTGGCACTGAAGGAGCTGGACGTCTAATTCCTAGCTGAACCTTTTCATCTCTGCTGTCTGTATGTGTCTGTGTGTGAGAGAGGGATCATCTTCTGTTTGTATTTTTCTTTCTCTTTGGCTCTTTTACTGTACTACAAAATAACAAGTAGTGCTTGGTGTGGGAAGACCGTGATCACTCATGTGTTATCCCAGATCTACCAATGTGATCACTAAGCTGGAGCATTACAAGAGAGAAAAATCCAGATAAAAAACTTAGCCTGGCCTAGAGATGAACTATACGGTTATGGAGAAGGCTTCTTATAAAGTAAGCTGGAATATGTGTTGTTTTCCACTAGATTTCTCTCGTGTGAATATGGGCATTCATACAGCTTTAAAAATACTGAGAAACAAAGTAGACTTGCAGCATTTTTGTGGCTATGTCACGATGTTGAATCCTTCAAGTCGGAATGCTAACAGAAAGCTGAGCGATGCTTCTGATGGAAGAGGTTAGTTACCAATGATTGTCTCTTTTGGCTGTGTTACCGTAATTTCACATACAATCACTTTAGCAAAGGTGAACAAAGGATTACAGTTCTTTGATTTGGAACTCTACAAAATACTATCCAACCCAGATAGGAACGCATTTTGAGTCTGAATCTATTGGCAGTAGGTTTACTTCCTAATTCGTCGTTGTTACTAGCTCAGAAATAGCAAATACAGACTGAAAAATCACTGGACTAGAGCAGTCAACAGAAGAAAAAGAATAATTTCAAAATATTAAAAGTAAATTTTGGTGGGTTTATGTGCCTGAACTTAATCTTTCATAAATGAGTTGAGAATCCCTAAGTGACTCTTTAGTCCTAAAATTAATCAGGCCCTATGTTTCTCCATATCCCTTCCTCCAGTTTTATAGCTATATGGTCTTTGGGCAAAGCTTGTGTCATGTTCCTTACATCAGGTGTTTGCTAAACTTATATTCATCTGCATGTTTATGTGAGAATTACTTTACCTTTAGGAGAGGCTGAACTAGTATCAGGATCTGATGTAAATGGGAGCACAGAATCATTTGAGATGGTAATAGAAGAAACCCCAATGGATTCTGCAGTCAAGCAAAGCCTTGAAGGTAAAAACACAGCAAATGGCTTGTACTAAACATTTTCCGTCCAATGAGATATCTTGATTTTAAGGATCTGAACACATTGTTGTTTGCACTTGTCATCCCGGACAATAATCGGTGCTAACTCTTCTCCCTGCTTAAAATTCAGATTACCTTAAATCTTTGAGCAGTTCAGTAGATGAACTATCTTAAAAAGTATGAACTGTCCAGTGGAGCCTGATCTGAGAGAACTGGTTCTGCATTCAATGTTCTTGCTTTGTCTTTTCTTAAAATTTGGTTGTCTCTTGGTTTTCTTTCTGTAGTACCCACAACAGAATTGGAGTGGGTTCCCCTGGAATTATGCTTTGGCATTCCACTCTTCAGCTCTGAGTTGAATCAGAAAGTCTGCAGAAAAATTGCCACTCATGGATTATGTAGAAAAGAAAGGTGAGCTGTAATTTATCAGCTACAGGTTTAACAGGTTGTATGTGTTAGGTCCAGTGCTTCTGCAAAAATTATACCTACAACTTGATGACTACAGGAGTAGACCTGAGCTAAGTTTTGTAGAGTACCTAATTCTAGTGTATGAGGTGGTCGCTTTTTGGCTCATGCATACCAGCTATAATGTATAATCTAGTAGTCCTTAGTTGTGCCAAGATTAAGATTAGGCTCTTTTTGTAGTTTCTGGAAGGTGAAAATTAATTCTTTGTAGTAAACTGTCTATGAACAGATCAGGAAAGACAGTAAATTTGGGTGCCTTCCTACTCATTTCTCCTTCCTAGCTTGGCATAGGCTTTCTTTCCTCCTCCTAACCCCTCTACCCCGATTCCGGGGGGAGACAAAACTAAGGCTGCTTGAAAACATGGCTTAAGGATTTTATTATAGTAGTTGACCTGCTTTTTAACAGTGTGTCACTAATCTGCTTCTTAAAAGTCATGTTACCAGACTGTCCTAGATAAGAATGAGACATGATAAAGTCTAATATATTAATGTATCTTATGTAAAATAGCATTTTTCAATTGCAGTAGTGTCACTTTAGCACTGTGTAAATGATAGGGAAAATACTATTTAGCTGACTAGACCCAAGAGCAGATGAGATGAGTTGAGCACCTCTTCAGTGATGACAATAATACCAAACTTTCTGTGTGAAAGCTTTTAACTGTGTCACATGATGTTAAATACTGCTAGAGTTACTTGTGAGCAAGTTACTATGGTACTTTACTCGTAAAAATTTGCATGCCTTGGATATAGCTTTTTCTCTTTTGTTTCTGACAGCCTTCAAAAACTCTTACATTCCAGTAGAAAGCTGTCTCTTCAGGTCCTTAATTTTGTTCATTCATTCCAGGTAAGGAGCCATAATCCAGTTGTAAATTGTTCTGTATGGTCTGTCATCCCTTTTTGCCCTCCTACTTGCCGTCCTTGGCTGTATGGAAACATACATGGTTGGTTTTATTTGCTTTTTCTTGAAACGGTAACTGTATTAAGAGCAGTATCAACCTTAAATTCTACTGGTAGCAAAAAGTGAGTACTTCCCTGTCCGTTTTCTAGCCTTATTTAATACGCGTCTCTTGACTTCTGTGGTTGCATCTTCTGTGTAATTAGTTTCATTGGTTTTTTTAATGGAACTTGCAAAGCAAAATTGGGTTGCTTCTTAGATGTGTTAGGGAGATTTACTGCAAACTGTGGATGTGCTGATCTTTTGAGATTTTATCTGCGTCTCAAGTCAACTGTGTTCCCTTAGGAAAAAATAAAATACATTAACATGTATTTCATAACAATTACTTTTTGCATTTGTCTTAAGATCCTCTAGATCTCGGTATTGAATGAGTATAAATGCGTAAAACTGCATACTCTGGGAGGATTTTATTAAGAGCATAGGTAGAGAATAGGAGTCTTGTTTAGCAAGCAAGGAGGAATGCCAGGTCTGCAGCCTGCTGTAATTCTGCATGGAAATGTACGCTAGCAAGGCATGTCCACGTGTAACATGGAATCTACTTAGCTGCTTATGTCTTATGATATTTTTCTCTAAAATTCTATCTTTTCAATAAAGTAAGGAACTTGCAGGTTACTTAAAGAGGTAGTGTTACGGATGGTGTGACCCTGAAACCACTTCCGCATGAAAACATTGGATGTTCCCAGTAGGTTAGAAGCCTTGGAACCATCTGTCTGTCTCAAATGACTCCTGTCCTAATCTCTTAGATATTGTCTCCGAGATACACTGTCCTTGATGATGATCTGTATAGAGAGGAAATAAAGAAGGTGCCAAAGTGATTTTTTTAAGCTGAGAAAACCAAACTTCTGGGAAATAAAACTACTCAAAATATGGTCAAATCAGTGCCTCCAAATATATGCATAGCTCTTAGCTCAGTGTTGGATAAATATCAGTATGATAATAGTTCTGAAGATATTATAGCTTTACATGTATTTTGCTGCGTCTGTCCTTCAATTCTAAGCCTCGGGCTTCCCTGAAGGTTTCTTGAAGGCAAATAATGCATGCATGAATGCATCTGAGGCAGCTGTATGCTTATTTCATGCTTCCCCTTGTTTATTCTGGTTTTACTTCCATAATGATTTGGTATTTATTGGATTAAAGTAACACACTTTATAAAACACTAAGTGTATTTGCAGATTGGATTAGCCTGTCATATTCTACCTGTTAAATCCTTCATTGTTTGTCTTTTTTTTAAGACGCTATTTTTTTTTTTTCTTCCTTTTGGTTTTAGGAAGGTATTTCAACACTGGATCAGCTCCATGATGCTGGTTCTTCAAGTTCACTTTTGCAGCCTGTTTCTGCAGATATGGGTGTTCCACTTCCTGCCAAGAATCTCATGTTCAAAGAAGGTGTATTATCTGAATGGAACGGATGGTCTCCTTCCTCAGTTTTTTTCAGCCACACCTAAGGAACAGGTCAAATAGGGATTCTCATGCATTGATCACTAAATGCCTTTCTTCTATTATGGTTAATTCCTAGTGCCAATCACTAAGAAGTGTACCGCTGTTGCAGCATAACCCATGTAAAAGTAGTGTTACAAAAATGTGTTGTGTTGCAGTATTGGGGAAGTGCTTAAACCGTCTAGAACTTGTTACTCATTACTGCATATCTTGCTGCAACAGAGAGCTTTTTAGCTGTCAGCACTATTTTTATCTTGAGACAATCTTTCTTTTATAACTAAACACGCCCTTTCTAGGCTTTCTGATGATTGTTAAATTTCTATGCTGTCACCACAAAATGGCAATAGTAGTTTTCTATGTTCGTTACTCAAACATAAATTCTGTTTAGTTTTGTACTGTATTACTGAAAATCTTTCTGTATAAAGGTAAGAGATTTGGCTCTTCCTCTGAAAGCTCAGTGATACCCACTGTTTAAAAAAAAAAAAAAATTATCATGGTAATATGGGGCATTAAGACTCGTTGAATTCTGTAGTTCAGCTTAACATTGAGGCCTTGACAAATCAGTACAATGGGAAGAGATTTGATGCTCACAGGAGGCTGAATTAGTGCAGACTTGAAGGCCTGCTGATGACTTAAGGCCACTTTGAAGATGAGTGGTACACTTTCATCTCTGGCAGAATTCAATGGAGGTGTGGAATTATGGAAGGGCTGAAGTGGTCAGCTCTGTTCATGGCGTTCTTTGTGATAACGGATTTGTCTTACTCTTTGTATGAAACCAGAAGTGTCTGAGACTTGATCACACTGGGAGTCAGTCCCTCATTGTTATTTGAAGCTGGCAATGATTGCCGTGGGAAAACTCCTGATGATGTAAGTTGAGTATAAGGTAGATAACTAGATCAGTCCTGTTGATTAATGTTTGAAAGAACAGAGCTTTTGATTTTTCACATGACAGTCATTAGCAAAGGAAGATAACAGCAGAGGATGCGTAGGCAGAGACTTCTCTGAATCTGTTTTCCTTGAACAGCTGTTGATTATGATAAACATTAACAGTGAGCTGTTTCAGCTAAAATCATGTTCTGGCTCTTCATAGGGCATGATTTTATGTAGCATGATTTCACTTTGTTTATATTAGGCATTAACTTTTTGCCAGCTTAAAGAAGTCTGTCCCATTTAGCACACAAGGAGAACAAGATATGTAAAATGTTAAGATTTTTAATGCAGCTGTCTAAAGTAGTTTTACTTTAGCTAACTCTGTTCTTTACTGGAACTGCCTTGTTTTAAATAGTCCTAATTGAAAATGAGGCTTAACCATCCTGTCATTACTAGCCTACAACACGTAATGGACCAAGAATCTGTGGCATAGATAATGCTGGACAACAGCAAGGAGAAAAATGGCAACGTTTGGGTTTGTGTCCTGTTCTGTATGGCTGTAAGAAAAAACATGACAGACGTTTGAAACGGACAAACATACTATGATAGGATAACACAGTGGCTTCAGTTACAACTGTGAGAATTCCGTTCTTTTTTTCCTTTGCTTTATATACATTCCTAAAGTGTAAGTGTAGGACTTGCGCTCTAAGAAACTGGAAGTCTGTAGCACTTCAGTTTGCTCAGTGCTGCTTTCTTACATCTGTTCTGGTTTTGTATTTTACCAGTAGCAGCTGAATGTAGTATTCTGCGTGTATTACAGAGCTAGATTATCTATATAAAATTGATCATTTACACTACAGTGACTTTTGTACTGGATGTGCATACTCTCCGTAGTGTTTTCTTTTAAGTTGCCTTATTTCCTTTGAAAGAAATTAAAGAGGAATTGGATGTCAATCTGCTAGAAATGGCAGAAGAAACATTTGCTGTGAGAATTGTTATGCGGAGGTTAAGCCAATATCTAGCACTGTAGAGGAGCTAAGCAGCAGGTGATGGCTTACACTTTCAGTACTATAGATGTTACTTTAAGTGCTGCAGTGAGCTGTAGTAGATGAGCTAGTTTGGCGTATTGTATCGAATTTTGCCATGCACTGTCTATACTAGCGTGTAAAGTTATGATAGCGCAAGTTGTATGGAAGTTTAAAAATGGGTGAAAATTTCTTGTTCTCACTGCATATTCTTCCATGTTATTAAGTGAAGGATACCCTTTGTTATTAGGTTGTCTACAGTAAAGTTCCTAAATACAAGTAGCCTGCTCTTCAGAGTTGTTTAATACCCATAAATCTTACAGTTAATGGTGAGAATTCCAGATGTGTTGCAGTTTTTTAGAACTCAAGCAAGTCTAATTTAGGTGCTTCAACACTAGTTTAGGACTTGAAATGTTCAAGTCTGCATATCTGAAGTTTATTGAAGAGATTGCAACCAAAGAAGTCCATAAAATACCTGAAACTCGACTACAGCTGCAGTGCTTGGGATGGTCCAGAGGCTGTACTCAAAGTATGTGACTTTTGTTTTAAATATGGTGTAAAAAATAAGATCTTAAAGATCTTCATACCAAAAGAATCTATTTTATACTGTATTGCAAATAAAGACAAATTAAATCAATTTAATTTCTTCAGGTAGTTTTATTGACAGTGGGGAAAATCACATGCGTTACACACTGTAAAGGTGTTTTAAGTTTCTCTCTTCAGCAAGACTTCTAACTTGCAGAAGAGAGATTGGCTTTGTGCTCTGGCACAACCCAAGTTGTATTCAGTCCAGATACCCCTGAAGATGTTCAGGAGTCAACTAGAAGGTGTGTTATGCTTGTTTTCAGGTTTTTTTGATCATGATTTATTATTTCACTTTTTTTCTTTTCAGTCATTGTTCTTGAGTTTTCCTTTATTTTCTTGTTCAGTGTTCTAAATGGTTTGTATTTTGAAGGTTTTAAAGTACGACTGTGACTGAATACAGTTGCGCTCTTCTAGTGTGACATTGTTAATATTATACATTGAATTGTACAAAGTCTGTGTTCAGTTAAATTATTGGCACATGTAACAGATGTTTACAAATAAACTGTGGTGTAGGTCAAACCATGTGCAGAATCCTTCACATGCAGTAGTTTTCTTCTTTGGTGCAGCACTAAAGTGTCACTCCGTGACTGTAGTGCTCAAGACTACCAAATGTCATCAAAGTATCTTTTTCCTGTATGCATGCAATTCTGCAGAAATGCAGTTTTATCAACGGAAACCCCTTATTTTAGTGTAGCCTTTTCTATGCCATATGCTTAACCTCTAAGGAGAAGGGAAAGTACAAGAGGATGGTGTACACGCTGTCTCCTTCAACCATGTTCTAAACCTGTAGTGTTTGATAGTGGATATTTGAAGTCACTTGCAAATGTAGTGTCTTACCCATTTTCTCTGACTAAAGACATTTTTTACTGGGAACTTGGAAGAAATGAGACTAAAATTGTTATTTGTTTCTTTAAAGTAAACCAGGCTGAGGATTCATCTTAGCAGTATAACTGCAGAGTGTGTCACAGTTTGGTTACAATATAAGAAAGAAATACATTCCTAGATGGTGAAAGAAACCAAATAACATCCTGCTTGGGTTTCACAGAATAGTTTGGCTTGGAAGGGACCTTTAAAGGTCATCTAGTATAACCTCCCCTGCAATGAGCAGGGACATCTTCAACTAGATGAGTTTGTGTGGGTTTAAATCTTTATTCTATCTCATATTTTCTTGAGAATGTGTATCTAACTATATTTTTTTTTGCTCCACCCCAAGGCCTTTTGTTCCACTTGAATACTCCAAATACATGACTCTAGCTTTGTCATTTGTTACACCTTAAGGCTCCTTTTGGACCGCAGTTGAAATGTGTCTGATTTTATTGTTCAGCATTTAAAGCTAATGTTAATCCTCCCTCCCATCCCCTGGAACAAACCCAAGCTTTTTTAATGCTTCTTGTAGAAGGCTTGGAGTGACTTCAAGAGATCAAGTGACTTTGAGTGATCAAGAGATCAAGATCACTTGCTTAGGAACTACTTGGTATAAGATGCCTTTGGGAAATGGGCCTTCAGGTGAGCTGGAACTGGGCAGGCTTTAGGAATTGAGCTGGGCTAGGAGATATAAAGTACTCAAAGAAAACTATTGTTCCCTATCTAAGCAGAACTATGAAAGAACCTCAGAACAGGTGCACAGGTGACCAGTGTTTTGTCCTAATATCTTTCTGTGCTACAGCAGTATAATTTCTTACAATTGCTTATTTCTTGTTGTTTTTTTTTTTCCCCTGCAAAGGATGTAAAGAAAATTTTTTTTTTTTTTTTCCAATTAAGACAGCCAAGGACCGCAGCAGGCTGCCCAGAGGTGTTGTGCAGCCTCCTTCCGTGGAGGTTTTCAAAACCAGACTGGATAAAGCCCTGAGCAACTTCATCTGATCTTATAGGTGACCTTGCTCTGAGCAGGAGATTGGACTACAGACCACCTGAGGTCCTTCTTGACCTCAATTATTCTGTGCTCCTGGTTATAACATACCTGAAGTGATTTTATACGCTTGTTTTTGAGTAGGTCAGGGTTGAATGCCAGACAAAATTCAAATTGTGGGTTTGGAGAACACTAGCATAGCTGAACATACACCCAGTAATACAAGAAATTTGGAGAGGGACTTCTTACAAGGGCAGGTAGTGATAGGATGAGGAGTAATGGCTTTAAACAAGAAGAGGGTAGATTTGGATTAGAGATCAGAAAGAAATTTTTCACTATGAGGGTGGTGAGACACTGGCACAGGTTGGCCAGGGAAGCTGTAGATGCCCCATCCCTGGAGGTGTTTAAGGCCAGGCTGGATGGGGCTTTGAGCAACCTGGTCTAGTGGGAGGTGTCCCTACCCATGGCAGGGGGGGTGGAACTAGATGATCTTTAAGGTCTCTTCCAACCTAAACCATTCTATGATTCTATGAAAATGTGATATATTTTCTGTCTGTAGAAGGAAAGCAAGCAAAAGCTACAGCCCAGGAAAAACAAGTTCAAGTCCTAGGATGACAAAACCATAAAAGAACGAAACCTTTATCACTTACAAACAAAATGGCAAATAGGTTGAAACAAG